CAATGTTCCTAAATAAAAACTAAAATAAAAAAAAAGATTTTGTGCTCATTGTAACTACAATATAAATGTAATTCCACTAAAAAGAGGTTTTTCTCAAACACTAACCTTTGGGCACCAGCACAGTATCTTCTGGACCCTACCCTTCCCAAACTTTTTAAGAGGCTAATTAGGAAGTAAGAGCTCTGGTAGTGTAGTGCCTAAGGCACTTGACTGCTAATCAGAAGGCTGGTGGTTCAAACCCAACAGCCACTCCTCGGAAGGAAGCTTGGGCAATCTCCTTCAGTAGTGATACCACCTCGGAAACCCAAGGAGGGGTCGCTATGAGTCGGTCCGACTTGACGGCACATAAAAACAATAACAACAATTGGGAAGAACTTACATAATTACAATATAGAAAATCCCAAGGACTCTCCCAAAAACAAAAGAAAACACAAACAGCCTCCTAAAACTTGTGAGTTTCTCAAGGTCACAAGATACAAAGTTAATCTACAAAAGCCAATTGTAATAATGAAAAATAACAGAGATGAAGAACAGATTAGAGGTTGTTGGAGTTAGGTAGCAGGTAGGCAGGGAGGTAGCTGTGGTTACAAAAGGTTATAGCAAGTGATCCTTGTCATGGAACTTTATTATTATTATTATTATCATTGTGGTTGTTGTCACACAAATCTACACATGTAGTAAAACTGTAAAGTACTAAACACACACACATATGCATGTAAAACTGGCAAAATCTGAATAAGGTGGATGGATTATATCAATTCCTGGTTGTGATATTATACTATAATAATGCAAGATGTTACCATTGGGAGAAACTAGGTGAATGGTGTATAGGAACTCTCTGTATTACTTCTTATAATTGCATGTAAATCTACAATTATCTCAAAATAAAAGGCAAATAAAAAATCAACTGGAACTCTCATACATTGCTAGTGGGAATGCATAATAACACATCCACTCTGGGCAATCATTTTGTACTTTCTTATAAAGCTAAACATATCCTTAGCATGGACCCAGCAATCCCACTTCTGGATAGCTACCCTAGAGAAATGAAAACTTACATTCACACAAACACTTTAGACACATGCATATGCTCACATTTCTATATAATAGCAGTGAACAATTAGAAAGAGAAATATAAAAAAACAGTATCATTTAAAGTGGCTCTAAAAATGAAATATATTAGCATGTAACTAACAAATTTGTACAGAATCTGTATGCTAAAAACAACAAAACGCTAATTAAAGAAATGAAAGAAGGACTAAATAAATGGAGAGACTTAATATATTCATAGACTGGAAAATCTAACTTAGGAAAGATGTCTATTCTTCCCAAATTGATCTAAACATCTACTCTAATTCCAGTAAAAATTTCAGCAGGAATTTCTGTAGATGAAATTTGTGTGAATAACACGCTAACTCTAAAATATATATGGAAAGAGTAAAGAATTAGAGTAACTAAAATAACTTTTTTGGGAAAAAAGAAAGAATAAAGTTGGAGGAATCATGCCTCCCACTTTTAAGACCTACTATAAAGCTATAGTAATCAAGACTGTAGTATGGATGAAAGAATAGACACACAGGGTCAATGGAACAGAATGGAGTCCAGTAGCAAACCCATTCTGTTGAGTCAATTCCGACTTATAATGACCCTATAGGACAGACTAGAATGGTCCCACAGGTTGTCCCAGGCTATAAATTTTTATGGAAACAGACTTCCACATCTTTCTCCCACAGAGCAGCTGGTGGTTCAAACCATCGATATTTTGGTTAGCAGCTGAGTGCTTAATCACTGCACCACCACAGGCAAATAGGGCAAATTTATTTTTGATGAAGATGCAAAGGCAATTCAACTGAGGAAGAATAATCTTTTCAACAAATGGTGCTGCAATACTTGGACATCTTTGTGCAAAAAAAAAAAAAAAATGGGGGAGGGGCTTTGACCAAAACCTCAGATCTTATACTTCTTTACTTTTATTAACTCCAATGTACATAAATGGGTAATGTAAAAATCTAACATTTTAAATGATTTGGGATTAGGCAAAGAGTCCTTAGACATAACATCAGAAACATAATCCATGAAAGAAAAAATGATAAATTGAACTTTATCAAAATTAAAAATGTTGGCTCCACTAAAGGTACTGTTAAGAGAATGCAAAGATAAACTACAGACACTACAGGAGAGAATAATTGACAAAACGTATAAAACCAAACTCCGAACTCACTGCTATTGAGTCAATCCGACTCATAGCGACCCCTCCTTGGGTTTCTGAGGTGATATCTCTATGGAAGTAGATTGCCCAATCTTCCTTTTGAGGAGTGGCTGGTGGGTTTGAACCGCCAGCCTTTTGATTAGCAGTCAAATGCCGTAGGCACAACATTGTAGCATGAAATATATAAAGAATTTCCAAAGCTCAACAATAAGAAAGCAAGCAACTCAATTCAAAAACAGGCCCAAAACTTGAGCAGATACTTCACCAAAAAAAGATAGAAGGAAAGCATATGAAAAGATGTTCAACACCATTAGCTATTAGAAAAATGCAAATTAAAACCACAATGAGATACAACTACATACCTATGAGAATGGCTACAAAAATAAAATACTGACAACGCTCAGTGCTGTCAAGGATACAAAGCAACTGGAACCCTCCTAGATTGTTAATGGGAATGCAAAATGGTACCTCCACTCTGGAAATTTTAAAAAAATTTCTTATGAAGTTAAACACATTCTGACCATGACCCCACAAGGTCACTCCTAGATATTCACTCTAGAGAAATGAAAGCTTATATTCACATAAAAGCTGTACACAAATATATACAGCAGCTCTATTTGTAACTGCCAAAACATACAGAAAACTTAGATGCCCTTTAATGGGCAAATGGATAAATGAACTGTGTTCTATCCAGACAACAGAATACTACTCAACAATAAAAAGGAATGAACCAGTCATATATGCAACAGCTTAGATGAATCTCAAAGACATCATGCTGAGTGAAAGAAGCCAGTTTCAAAAGTTACATACTATATGATTCTATTTACATGACACTCAGAAAGACAAAACTAGTCACGAAGAACTAGGCACCAAGTAGTTGCCAGATGAGGGAAGGATGTGACTCTAAGGGGATAGCACAAGGGATTTTTTCAGAGCGATGTTCTCCTTCTGTGTCCTGACTGTGGTGGTGGTGGTTACAGAAATCTATGCATGTTAAATAAAATTCATAGAACGGTAAACAAAATAAAAAGCCCATATGTTAATTTTAAAAATATAAATTTACAAAGCAATCTTGACATTCAAATCTTAAAATTAACCCTTTCAAAGAGGCCATTTCAAATTTAGTTGCTTGTAGTGTAAGTCCAGATACATCACTATTTTAGAAAGTACCACAGGCCTCATTTTGTAGTATACTACGGAGAAAAGATTGGAGTTGTCAGTGATTTCATATTACGTGGATCCACAATCAACACCAATGGAAGCTGCAGTTAAGAAATCAGACAAAGTATTGCACTGGGCAAATCTACTACAAAAGACCTCTTTTTCAAAGTGCTGAAGAGCAAAGATGTCTCTTTGAAGACCAAGGTGCACCTAACCTAAGCCATGGTATTTTCAATTGTCTCATATGCATGTGAAAGCTGGGCAATGAATAAGGAAGACCAAAAAAGAGTTGATGCTTTTGAATTGTGGTGTTGGCAAAGAATACTGAGTCGAATCCAACTTACAGTGACCTCACCTTGTGTTTCCGAGACATTATCACTATGGAAGTAGATTGCTCAATCTTCCTTCCGAGAAGTGACTAGTGGGTTTGAACTTCCAGCTTTCTGGTTAGCAGTCAAATGCCTTAGGCACTGTGCCACCAGAACTCCCAAGACTACCATGGACTGCCAGAAAAGCTAACAGATCTGTCCTAGAAGAAGTGCAGCTGGAATACTCCTTGGAAGGAGAATGACCAGACTTCGTCTCACCCACTTTGGTCATATTGTCAGAAGGGATCATACCCTGGAGAAGGACATCATGCTTGGTAAAGCAGAGGGTCAGCAAAACAAGGGAAAGCCTCCAACAAGATGGAATGATGCAGTGGCTGCGAGGATGGGCTCAGGTGTACCAAGGATTGTGAGGCTGGCGCAGGACCAGGCAGTGCTTGGTTCTGTTGTACAGAGGGCTGCTATGAGTCAGCGCCAACTCGACGGCCCTAACAACAACAGCGTGGAGCTCACAGACATAAATGAAAATACTCTAAGTCTAACCTCAACTAAGAAGAAAAACAATGGCTGTTAATGTAAAAAATGCTCAGTAAACAGCAAGTAAAAGAACATTTATTTTAGTGAACTTTATTCAAACGGTAGCTGCAGACTGAACAGTGTCTGCTAATTTTTTAACTTAAGTAGATTTAGTTTTGCTGACAGATCAAATGGAGGTTATAATAATCATTAAATAATAAGCTAAGAAAGTAAAATACTCTCTAAACAGACTAAAACCCACTTAGGTAGTTTAAAACATTGAAGATTAATTTCATAATTCATTTATTAAGATTTTAGAGTAAATACCATGGCATTGCATCAAATCAGGGATGATATACATTAAAATAATATAAGTTATTTTCTATAGGAAAATAAGATAGTTTTAATTATTACTTAAAATTTAAGTAAATAATCCAATGCAAACCAGCCTTTTAAAAACATCCTTGAATATTAATCAGAGGCATATAGTGTTGTCAAAATGTGTCCTAAATGCAACATTCAATCTGGAGAAATGATAAATGTTATACATTCAAATGAGCTACATTAAAAAAAAAAATACTTAGCTATAATTAAGTATTTCTGTAAGCATGTAAGTTTCTCGTTCTGGCTATGATTATTGCAAACTTACAGAGAGAAAATAGGAGGCCTGCATATCCGTGAAATGGATCAGACCTTCAGCTGCTTCCAGATGACTTCTGTATTAAATTGAACAATCCACAGAGAAATTCCAGTGATGACACAACATGCCTGTTCTGTATTTTCTTCACATTTTATGGAACATTGGCCCCACTGTAGCTATAATATCTGCATAGGGAGCATTCTGGCTCAGCTCAATAGCCTGGTGTTTTTTTAGGACAAGAAAGCTATAAAATTTGGCAGCTGTTTGTTTTCGGTCACTATTTCTGCAGAGCTTCATCAGACTGAAGGACTGTGTTCCCATCTTGTTGGATTTCTGGGAAAATAATTGGAAAAGAAGGGATCAAAAGGGAAACAAGATCATTAGAACTAGGACAGGCTTAATATACTATGGATACATAATGAAGGACTAAATATCGATATTTTTGATGTGTCTAAAATTCTTAAATGGAGAAATACAAATAAGTAATAAAGTTTAAAAAATATCAATGCTCACTGAACACAAGTTTGATTCATTTAGAAAATGCTAGCAAAAGAACATTAAAGGGTTATACAAATTTCTAATGTGCTATACAAATGTTAACCCTTTTTGAAAAATGATGTTAACATAAATGCCTTCTGTGGAAAGTACAATTAGTTTAGACTTTCAAGGGGAAATATCCACAGGAGTTTGGAAGGCTTCAAAATATAATGAAAATTATCAGCCTACAAGGCTTCTTCTCAAAGGTACTGCAGGTGGAGGTGACTAAAAACAACTCTAGTGGTAGATGAAAGAAGACTGTTGGTGCAATGGTTAAGCACTCAGCTTCTAACCAAAAGGCCAGTGGTTCAAACCCGCTACTGGCTCAAACCCACTTGTGGCTCTCAAGGAGAAAAGATCTGGTGATCTTCTCCCATAAAGATTACAGCCTAGGAAAACTTTTGAGACAGTTCTACTCTTTCATTTAGAGTCTACAACTTGAAGGCACACAACAATGGCAAATGTAGTAGTACATGTGTACATTACAGTGTTTTGTGTGTGTGTGTGTGTGTGTGTGTTTGCACAGATTAAAAAGATAGTGGTTTCACCATAGGGCAGCTATGTGTCTCCCAGAAAAAAACTGAGGTGGAATATTTAATTGTGGATGAACATAACTTGTTTTTATGAAGACTAGAACGTGAAATCAGATTCCTGACTGTAGTAAATACTGGCCAATAACCCTGTGCATATAGAACTCCTTGGATAGTTGTGAAGCATTTTTCAAAATACTATACCAAGTTTTTCCCCCAGTCCATAACATTTAACAAATTAATAAATTAAATAATTTATCATAGTTTATCTCCACTAAAGGAGAAGCCTAGTGTCAGTTGCCTTTCAGAGATGGTATGCCAAGTCTTTGAAGAAACACTGTTGGCACAATGGCTACATGCTTGACCTGGGAAGGTCAGTAGTTTGAACCCACCAGTGGCTTCAGCAGAGGAAAGACTTGGGGATCTGCTTCCATAAAGATTACAGCCTAGAAAATCGTATGGGGCAGTTCCACCCTGTTCTATAGGGTCATATTGAGTCAGAATCAGTTGGATGGTGTGCAATAACAACATTCCAAGCCTTCATTTGTTCCTTGCCTTGAGGAGACAAGATGTAGATTGGGTAGCCTTTTTTCCCTAGGGGATAGCAGGGACACATTTTCAATTTCAAGCATCCCTTTAAAAAATGAAAAAATTCCAGGGTAAAAATATGCAAAATTGAACATATGGGCTTATTTCTGTTCCCTTCAGAAACCTCTCTAAAATGAAGGTGCAAAAACTAAAAAGTGACAAAGGAAAGAGATAAAGAAAGTGGAAGAAGTAACTTATTTAATAGAGTAGAGAAAGCTGAGACCTACAGGCCAGCTTGGAGGGAAATTAGAAAAAGCAAGCCACTCTTGAGCTACAGAACCTTGGAAAAGCTCTGGAACTGAAGGCATCAATATGTCAAAAGCATGGGACAAGGTGAAGATGAAAACGGGATAATTCCTTGAAAATCTACTTTGGAGCATTTAGACCCTCAGGTCCACTCCACTGCCTCACAGAAAAGGAAAACTCTACCTCTCTTAGGCAGCAAGAAATTGCCTTTCTGGAGAGACAGTCAGGAATTGGGATGCCAGGCACTGTGGGTGGTATAGAACTGTCATCCCACAAACAGAAACATTCAGTGAAAGTCTACATTCTGAACAGTGGCTCTCTTACCTCCTTTTGGTTCCCAGACCACTGATATCATGATTATATTCCCCAGGCACTAGATTTGAAGATTACTGTGGAAAAACTGACCATTCTGAGGAACCACACATACAAATAATGACAGCTGGGGTGGCCCATTATAAAGACCACAAGTCCCACCCATTAATATACAACTTCCAATCAGCTTTTTGGTGTTTCACTCTTAAATAAAAACAGACAACTCAAGAGCCACCAAACATTTGAGTAAAATCTCTAACGTGAAAGATCAAAAAGAATGCATTCAAGGGGATCATTAACTCAACAAACAAATTAGGACATTATAAAACAAAAGAATAGTTAATAACAGTAACAATAATAATAATAAAACTTGGAAAACAAGTAAAAGGAGAAATAAAAATTCAATAAAAACTGGAAAATAAAGTTTAGGAAATCTAGAGAGTGGAAAAATAAAAAGGTAAAGGAAACTAATATAAGAGAGAAACTAGTTTTACAAACTTAGAGGAGCCGTTCAAGAGATCCAACATGCAATCCACAGGGATTCTAGAGAGAGAACAAATAAACAACAGAAAGGAAATCCAAGAATAATACACACACACAAAATTCCCAGAACTCAAGGACATGACTTTTCATATTAAAAGAACCTATGGCATTTTCAGCATAGTAAATGAAAAAAGAGCCCTACATCATCATAAAATCTCAGACCACCAGGGATAAAGGAAAGATCTAAAAATTTCCAGAGAAAAAACACAGGTCATCTACAAAGGATCATCAACCAAGGCAGCATCTGACTTTTCAATAATGACACGAGAAACCTAGAAATGTTGCAAAGCCTTCGATATTTGAAAGAAGTTATTTTCAAACAAGAATACTATGCACAGAGACAATCAGTCAAGTTAAAGGTAAAATAAAGACATTTCAGACCTGCGGAGTCTCTATCGCCCACACACTCTATCTCAGGAAATTACAAGAGGATGTTAGCCACCAAAACATTTCAGATAAAGGAAGATCGAAGCAACAAGAAATAGGGAAACTAGTAGAGGAAAGAGGCAAAGGAATTCTCATGTTTATAGTAAAGGAATTTCCCAAGACAAAACTGTGTAGCAGACCTAGAGAGCAAGTAGTCCAGATTAGAACAAGAGGATGATGAGCTCTAGGATGGATATTTCCAAGGGAGGGAGGATTATAAACTGATGGATCAATTGATATATTTGACCATATTAAAAGGGATTTTTATTGTTTTATTATCAGAGAATTAAGGAGCTCTGGTAGTGTAGTGAATAAGGCATTTGGCTGCTAACCAGAAGAGCAGCAGTTCAAACCCTGCAGCCACTCCATGGAAGGAAGATGAGGCAATCTACTTCCATAAAGATTTACAGCCTCAGAAACCCAATGGGGGTCGCTCTGAGTTGGAATTGACTCAATGGCAGTGACTTTTGTCAGAGAGTTTGGAAAAAAAAAGAATTAAGAATGGGTATATACACACTCAGTAAATGGGAAAAATGAGGCAATGATTAAATCCAGAGCATAGTTTTTGTGGCAGCTACTTCTTGTTGTCCCTAAATATTCATCCTCCTCTTCTTCCTTAATAATATATTAGCTGGGGCAAAGGTAAAGTCAAAGGTCATCAAAAACAAGAGAAAATCTTAGTGAGATGGACTGACACAATAGTTGTACCAGTGGGTTCAATATATCCACAAATGTAAGGATGGTGCAAGACTGGGCAATGTTTTGTTCTGCTATACAAAAGCTCACTATGAGTTAGAGCTGACTCCAAGGCAACTAACAACAGGGTTGTCAAATTAAGACAACTTTCCTAGCTCATGATAGATAAATCCTTCACCCTCTACCTAGGCTGCCAGAATCTACTAAGTTTCTGTGTCTCTCTCCTAGTACTTTCCTAGTCTCCATCCCCTAATTTCCATTTAGACTCTTTGTGTTCTCTCCTGCTCTTCAGGTGCCCCTGCCCCCAAACTCCCAGTTTCCAGTGGGGTTCTTTATTCATTTTTTCCCTTCATGAAGCAGCCCCTCCACTCCGACTCTCAGTTTCCTTTTGGATCCTTTGTCTCCATCCCAGAGCTTATCTTGTGCCTGCCCTCCCTTGTGTTTAGTTCCTCAATAGGCAAACAACCTCCTGCATCAAAACACTACTTAAACACCCTGTGGAGACAGGATCGTGGCTGATGCTACTCTAAGCCTCAGCCCATCCACCAGGCAGATGTTTCAATAAAACTTATTTTTCTAACAATTCACCCTGGTCATGTTCCTTTCAGCATTAGAAACCTAACAGCTAGGCATGGCAATACATTTAAGTTCTGGTTAATGAGATATCAAAAGTAGCACCCACAATTTCTGGGCTGACTGGCATGCACACATGGTAGATAATTAGCCATTTTGGACCATGCGACTAAGGACAAGAAGCTGAAGGGAACCTGATAATTTTGTAAGCATAGCTGTCCTACCAAATTGGACTTTTACATCAAAGAGAAATAAACTTCTATTTTTTAAGACACTGATATTTTGTCTGTCTGTTATAATCTAGCCTGGATCATAACTAGGACAACTAGAACACTATAAACACTGAATATTGATTTAACCAAAACTCGTGCTAAAAATATACTGAGGAAGTCAATAGATATAAATTAAAGCTGAAATATCAAGAAAGAGCATTAAAAACATGTTAAAGGAAATATTGACATAAACACTAAAAGAAGCAGTTGAAAGAGTAGTTGCCGCTGGTGAGCAGGACTTAGGGATCACTAAGGGTAGGACAGAGGACTTCTGTCTTTCCTTTTCACCCTTACAGCATGGTACTACTGAACTTTTAAAATTGCATTCATTTATTATTTTGATAAAAATATAAATTAAAAAATTCCCTGAGTCATAACTCTTAAATTATAATAAACTTAGTTTTATACTGAGAATTAATTGATAGAATGGAACACAATAGATGCATGAGTGTAAGTAAATTGATTAGAACATGCAAACACCCAAAATAAACTCCATTATCTAACCTTAGGTATACCACTCAAAAGCATCCCTCTCTAGTGATATTTGGCTTAAAAAACAAAAACAAAAACAAAAAAACTGTTTCCTTTTTTCAGTGCCTATAAGTTTTAAGCCAAAATTTTTATTTTTTAAATATAAAAATAGGGTTGATAAACCCTACCTAATCTTACCCGTAGGAGCTCTAGTGATGCAGTGTCTAAGGCATTTGACTGTTAACCAGTAGGCTGGTGGTTCAAACCTCTGAGCCACTCCTTGGAAGGAAGATTGCGCAATCTACTTCCACAGAGATACCACCTTGGAAACCCAAGGAGAGGTTGCTGTGAGTCAGAACTGAGTTTGGTTTTTTTTGTTTGTTTCTTTGTTTAATCTTACCCGTAAGCTATTTAACAGCTGAAGAATTCTTCGATTCCATCTCTCTGCCTCAATATTTTGTTCACTCCCCAACGATTCCTGTTTGAATGGTTGATAAATATTACATTTAATCAAATTTTACTGAATGTTTACTATTTGCTAGACATAGTGTTAAGTTGCTACAAGAAAGAAAACTATCATGCTAGGGCCTGAAAAATAAGGAAATTGTCGTCTGATAATAGAGCAAATATAGACTACTTATAAATATAGACCAGCCTTTGCAGGACAACACCTATACTTCCCAGATGACTTTCTGGTAAGGGCTCCAGAGCAGGAGATTCTTCGATCTTTATCCGTAATGCATCCCAGGGTACTGAGCCCTTACTTTCAAAAGTAAAGTCAGCAAAGACAAATATTTTTGGCTAGCACTATCCTAGTTCTGACAATCTGGATTTAGTTGGCAGGAATAAATATAAAGCTGTAGAAAAACTGCCTTGTAAAGGCTTTTATCTGAACTTGCCTGGTGATAGCGAAGCTCTAAAAGTAACTGGTGTTTAGTAGTTTGTGTACAACTGGGTTAAAAACCTTTCAGATTTTGAGGGTGCTTTGTCCAAAAAAGATCAACCCACTGCCTTTCAGGTAATCAGAATAGATTCATTCTTTTGGTCTTTAAAGCTAAACCACCCTCAGGAACATTACAATATTTAAAAATTAAACAGTTGAAATTCCTTAGCAGAATCTCACTATAAGCCCTTACCAACTAACACCTTATAAACTGAGAGCAGAAACTGGGCACAGGAAAGGTGTGGATGAGTTTGATAAAAGAACAGACCTACAAAGAGATGGGGGAAGGGAAGTGGTGCAAATCTGACCTACTTTATAATTTTTTCCTGGGCTAGCTCTGATCATGCCACCAGTAGTATTTGTGCCACCCTTATCACACATCCCACTGGCTGTCCCGACGTTTCCTAAAGTTGCTTTCAATTTCATGGACTCCAAGATCATTTCAGAAAGTTCCAGAATAGTCTGCATAAATTGTTTAAAAATCATTTAAACTGCTGAGTCCCCATCTCACTGGCTATCCTGATTCTGCCTATACTGTGTCCTTTCTTATATTATAAAGAGACTAATTTGAAAATATGGTCACTTTAATATTAAAGAATTTTCCAAATCCTTTCAGCTACTTTCCAGTCTGTCTGGAATAAACAAGTTCATCCACTTACTAATATTTATTTTATCATTAAATACACAAATGGTATTTTTTTAATGTAAAAAGTAATGGTCCCAACTCTTTGTTAAAGATCCATGAGGTTGCAGCTTCACCTATATTGCATACTAAATTATCCAGAAAAAGGCTCAGAAGAAATAGTCTGTGAATTTTGCTGAAGCCTGTCCACTCGATCTATCTGCACACCCTACGGCTGAATCCACTCTGAGGAGAGCCCAGTGGATTATTGAAACAGCTTGTTTGTTTCATCGTGTATGAAAGTATCCTGTGTTTATCTATAGAAGCAAAGAGAAAGGCAAAATTGAATCATCTGGTTTAGCTATGTACTGTTTCAGGTAAAAATGCAAGATATGTAAAATATATATATATATATATATATATATATATAAACACACAGGGAGCTCTGGTAGCATCGTGCCTAAGGCACTTGACTGCTAACCAGAAGGCTAGTGGTTCAAACCCATCAGCCACTCCTTGGAAGGAAGGTTGGGCAATCTACTTCTGTAGTGATACCACCTCGGAAACCCAAGGAGGGGTCACTATGAGTTGGGTCTGACTCGACGGCACATAACAACAACAATAAACACACACACACATACATATATATCTATATATACACATTTTTTATCTCCTTTTAAATTCTGTCCTAATATCCAGAAAATTTGGTCTGTTTTCCATATAAGAAAAAATAATCTAATAGTCTCAATATTCATTACAATGATTATTTTAAAATAAATTAATATTAGGTATTAATAAGGGTTTTCTATATTATTTCCTAAATATATTTTGCTAAAGTATCTTACAGTCTTAAAAATGTCTCCAGTAGTCTGGGGTAAAGACCTAGGGAAATTTATTTCTGGCTTTGCTATTGACATGTGACCCTTTGAGCAAACCATTTCATTTTTCTGACTTGTAGGTATCTTGTACGGATATAAGCCTTGAGTCATATATGCTTTGGAAAAAATGTCCACACATTTTTTTGTAAATAGAATAAAATTTCAAATATACTAGACCACACCACTAATATGGTTCTGCTTCTTTAGAGATGTTATTTAAAGAATAACTCAAAACAGTGTTCTCAACATTTTAAAATTCATGACTACTTTTGATAACCATAAAAATCTTTCACCTTTAAAATTCTTTGAAGCTTCGAGATAAAGACAAAAAAGTCAAAGCAATTCTGAATATGTCTTATCAAACTACTTGCACACATCTGTTGAGATAACTAATTTAAACTATGAATTTACAAAGTAACATGACAGCTCTAAAGAGCAATTTCTGGAAGCAAAAGGCATTCAATATTTAGGAACAAGGTGTTTAAGAATTTCCCTAAGACTATACATACATTCAACAATTCAAGTGGACCATTTTCAATTTCTTCAGCCAAGAAAGCATTCATTAAAGAGGATTCCTCAGCAGCAGAAGAAACCATTTCAACAAAATCCTGCTAAAGAAAATAGGGAAAGACAGGTAATTCTGCCTGTAGTTATACTATAAGCAATCATTTCCTCAAATGCTTTAACATGAATGCTCACTTCTAAAACTAATTTAAAATATTATCCATGTTCTCAAAAAAGTTCCATAATAGGCAGTCTCTGCCTTAAATATAGGCGCTCTGGTGGCGTAGTTCTTAAGGCATTTGACTGCTAACCAGAAGGCTGGTGGTTCAAACGCACCAGCCACTCCTCGGAAGGAAGATTGGGCAATCTACTTCCATAGAGATACAGCCTCAGAAACCCAAGGAGGGATCGCTATGGTTTGGTTTTTGCCTTAAATATTCCTGTTTTCCACATGCCTCCACAAAAGGGGCCCTTGCACCCTGCTCCCCTCCTTGCTTCCTCTCCTTTTCCCTATCGTTTCCCTCACCACTCAGACCTCGTATCTGAGTCTCTGCAGTTGCTGAGACCATTTCCTTTGAAGCATTTCACTTAGCCTCAGTCAGTGACCTCTATTTTCATCCCAGTACCAGGTTGTTGTTGTTGTTGTTGTTGTTTGCCGTCGAGTTGGCCCCGACTCATAGCGACCCCTCCTTGGGTTTCCGAGGCAGTATCACTACGGAGGTAGGATTGCCCAACCTTCCTTCCGAGGAGTGCTGGTGGGTTTGAACCGCCAGCCTTCTGGTGAGCAGTCAAGTGCCTTAGGCACTATGCTACCAGAGCTCCAGTACCAGGTAGCAGAGGAAAAAGATCTGCAACAGGCAAGCGGAGGGAGTGAGGAAAGGGATATAAAGATCGACTCTGGTAGCATAGTGGCTAAGACACTTGCCTGCTAACGAGACGGCTGGCGGTTCAAACCCGCCAACCACTCCTCGGGAGGAAGGTTGGGCAATCCTACTTCCGTAGTGTTACTGCCTCGGAAACCCAAGGAGGGGTCACTATGAGTCGGGTTTGACTCGACGGCAAATAACAACAACAACCCAGGGCTGTGACAGGATTCCTGCCACTACTGCTGGAGCTGTCACTGGCAGAAGGGAAGGAAATTTCAGTATTCTGAAAGGGGATGGAAGAAATAAAGGAAGAAGAGAGAGAAGCAGACATTCTACATTCCTGCTCAGTCCCTCCCCTTTTCACTGCTCTAAGCTTCTGGTCCTTTTTTTAAAATTCCACCTGTCTCCCAGCGTTACTTCCCAGCTGTCATCCCAGATCTTGATTAAATTGGGGGCTTTCTACAGCTTTCTGGGTTTTCACTTCAACTTTTTAAAATTTTAGTGAGTATAATGAGTTGCATTCTATTCTTTAATGTATACATTTACGGAGGCTCATCATGTTTTCCCCTTTAATTTCTATGAATATTCTGTATTTTAGATACTTTCAATTTTATAATTACTTTATATAAAAATTCTGCTTTATGAAGATTTGAGAATGATTAGTCAGTTTCTTCCTGTCCCTTCAAATTGCTTGTGCACCCATGCCTGACTATATTTCTTATCTGTCCATCATTTTTGCGAGCAGAATAAACATAGACATTCTCAGAACTGTTTTTTACCTCCTCAAACTAGGATAAAGGAGTAAAGAGTTCCTAAGAACTGGTGTATCAGTCTCTTTCCTTCTTTGCACTTCAAGCACTTGGGAAGATATATTTTATTAATGTATCTATGATAACTACAGTTATGTTTTCCTTGCAAGATATCATAAACAGTTTGCCTGAGTAGATGCTCTCTAAGAAATGTCCAAGCCAAAATAAGGAAAAGGATAATACTGACAACCTAGTAGCTCAATATCCAATATCCAATCAAATATTAATAAAAAAAACATGTTTTACTTTAATGCATTACAAAATTATCTTTTCTTCCAAGGGCATTCAGTTTCAGTGTGGATTGACTTTGAATTCCCTGAGTGGTTATCAAAATACAGTGATGATGGAGTAGAACAAAAAAGTCTTGGTTTATTTTTATCCAGTGAGGCTATAATACTTAATCTAATAGTATTTTTAAATATTTTAAAGTGCATTGTTCCCAACTGCCTTAAAATATTTTTGTTAATAAAAAAAATTTTTTTGGTTATGGAAATTTAGATATTCCTTTAGATTCAAGGCCAAGGTAATCTGTGGGTCTAAAACATAATACTCTTAGAGATAGAGAAGACAGATTGATGATGAGAAATAAAACATAGATCTATTGGACTACAGTTCTAAAATATTCCATGAGATATTAAATTACATGTGGGGTCCAGTAGGATTCTCAGCATATAATCAGATTCAAATATGGATAGTCATTCACTTACTGACTAACACATGGTAACAAAATACTGTTTCAGTATGAAATGAATTTTTCTTGTGATTTCCTATCTTAAATTTCTAGGGAATTCTGCCCTGCAAATGAGAATCATGTTTTATCCTTCAGTACTTCTACTGACTAAAGAAAATGGTTGTTGTTGTTGTTGTTATGTGCCGTAGAGTCGGCCCCGACTCATAGCGACCCCCTCTTAGGGTTGCCAAGGCAGTATCACTACGGAAGTAGACTGCCCCACCTTCCTTCCGAGGAGTGGCTGATGCGTTTGAACCGCCAGCCTTCTGGTTAGCAGTCAAGTGCCTTAGGTACTATGCTACCAGCATAATGCTGTTGTTGTTGTTATGTGCCCTCGCGTTGGACCCGACTCATAGCGACCAACCCCTCCTTGGGTTTCTGAGGCAGTATCACTACGGAAGTAGATTGCCCCATCTTCCTTCCGAGGAGTGGCTGGTGGGTTTGAACCACTAGCCTTCTGGTTAGCAATCAAGTGCCTTAAGCACTACGCTACCAGAGCTCCCACCAGCACAATGCAAAATGAAATATAAATTTTTACAATTTATATTTATATAATCTTATATATATAATTAATCTTATAATAAATAACAATGTCTTATAATTCTTACAAATGTAAGAAGATATACCAGACTCCTAACATTCCTTTAACAGTCCTGAGAAAAAAAATCACCATATTTGTGTCAGAAAATAATAATATTTTTGTGATTCTCTCTGGTTAATTTACCTCAGAGTTAATATTTTTATTGGCATCCCCTTGAGAGCTACACTGAGATCCATCAAACACATCCTTCCAGGGTTTGGTTTGACTTAACTCCTGCCGGGCACTTTTCTCTTCCATCATGGAGGTCTCTGATGATCAAGAAAGTAGAGAAGGTGTCACCAAAATACCTTTCAAATTTGAATTGGGATATGGTGGTTACAAAACAGGAAACACTTCTAATAGACAACTTAGAATCTAAGGATTGAAGCAAAGGGTACATAAACTACTTGTACGGCTCCCCAAGCCCCACACATTTATCTTCCCTGACTCTTTATCACCTTCCTCTGACACTTTATCACATCCACTCTCCGTCCTCCATCTCCACCACACTCACTCCTATACACTCACTCTCCAGACAACACAGAGAGCTTTGAAGCCCATCTCAGAATATTGCTCAGTAGATTTTAATGCCTCTAGGAAGGGTGATCAGGAAGGAGAGATTCACTCACCTCATAAGTTGATTTTATCATTACTTTATAATTTCACAATCATAACCAGTAATTATTAACATTCCATGTGTTCTCTGGGTAGGTGGAAATATCTATGTCTTAGGTTAACCACAATGCTTAAAAGCTATTCTTATCACAGGATGGTTTTCATGTTGGTTGTTTTAAAATGAAACATTACTCCACTAGATACAAAGATTTTCTTTGTTGAGAGTTTGTGAGTACTACTTTTGGGGGTGGGAAAGAGTGAGAATAAGAATGGTCCACATATTATATATTATTTTTTTGATGAAGCATCTGGGACCAAAAAACATACCCGAAAAATAGGAAAATGCAATGCTGATGTAAAAATTTATTTTAAATTTTAATACTCTCCTAGAGATAGCATATATAATTAGGAATAAGGAATTGGATTCCACCTTTATATTTAAATGTAAAATGAAATTTTTGTTTCCACAACATTCTCCTCAACATTGACAGAACTAGGAAATCTTACCTACTATGTTTTGGATTCCCATGTCTTCCCTTTTTGACTCCTTCTGTATCAATTTTCTTCCAAGTTTAAAGCCAGAGGACAGAAAGCATTTTGTAAACAACTGTAAAAAAGACATTTTTGTTTCTAGTTTTGCACAAGCAAAGCAATTTGATAAAGCACAACCACACATGATCCAACATAAAAACTGTAATTCATACACATATATCCAGAAAAATTATTCAAAATGAGTGAGGGAGAATTTTCTCACAAGTTTAAATTTTGTTGTGAATATGTAATGTATTTATTAATTTATAACCAAACATCATGCCCATGTAAGAGGATGGAAACTATTACCTTTTGTAGTTTAGCGTGAATTAAATCCTGAGCAGCAGTTGACAAAAGTATATCCACTCCTCCCCGCTTCTTCCACATCATCAACCTTTGGGTAGGAGGTGCAAGTTCCAAAACCATGAGTGTATCCGCAAAGGAAATAAGCTGTTTATGCATAATTTTGCTACTGATCTCCTTGACTGGGTCTATGAGCAATTTCCTTCTTTTGCCTTTCCTTTTCTCAGCAATGTCTAAGTGTAAGAAGAAGGCACAAATGTGATTGGTTGTACAGCTTTTTAAAATGATCCTAGGCATATCTAAGAAATGTCTATCACAATATTCCCTACAGAGTTCTATTGGGAAGAAAATCTATCCTTTCCTCTCTTCTGAAAATTATATATTGCAAGGTTTTTACCTGAGCAGTCAGCCACTAGCTGATGCATTTTGTAAGGTATTGCTCAAAGGTGCTTATGAGCGACTCTGTCGAGTTAATAAATGGACCACAGAGGAAATGTGGAGCAGAGACTGTACTGAGAGGGAAGTCATCTAATTTGAAGGATCTCTAAAAGGTGAACTGCCTATGTAAGAAGATAACTTTTTGAAACACTGATTTGTATTTGTGTAGTTTATTTTCCCCTCCTCAACTGAAATCCATTCACAAATCCTAAGTAAGTAGCTAGATCCAAGATTCAGCTACTTCAAGGAATTTTACCAGGCAGAAAGCAGAAGCGGCTTGAAGACAAAGCTTTTCTTTAGTAAAGCTGCAAAAGGGGAGAGAGAGTTCGATTTACCAGAATGAGAGGCGATATGAAATCAAATGGAACAGAAGGAACGGGGGAACCTGTTTGCTGATGTGCCTCTGTAAAATCCTGGGAACATGACAAGATCCCAGATAGGCTGGTTGAGCGATGATTTCACAGATTAGACTGGGACAGTGGGTACTAGAAAATGGTGCTGCTGATAATCAGAGGTCTCCTTCTACCTCCAACACCCCTCCCTTGAACTTGGTATTACATGGCCTAGGGAAGACAGGGGAGCTATGCATATTGAACGTCCTGCCCCAGTGGGATAGGGGCTCAGAGTTGCATTTAATAAAGGAAGAATGTAAATGCTTTATTCCTTGCATCCTTGAGTAGATAACATAAAATCCATAGCAATTACTCTACTTAAAATGAGACTGTTTCTAAAGGATCTACCTATGTATTTAATTCATACTTACTGTTCATTTCTAAAAACATGTTTGAGGCGATATGTTAGCAAGAAGAGGCTCTGTAGGATATTTTGTTAATTTTCAAGAGCTGTTCCCCTATTTCCCCAATTGTAAGACTCCAGGGGTTAGCACATAGCCTAGCACAAAACTGGACCTTAAAAAATTAAAACCAAAAACCAAATTCACTGTCGTCAAGTTGGATCCAATTCATAGCAACCTCTCCTTGGGTTTCCAAAGCGGTATCACTACAGAAGTAGATCACCCAATCTTCCTTCTGAGGAGTTGCTGGTGGGTTTGAACCGCCAGCCTTCTGGTTAGCAGTCAAATGCCTTAGGCACAAATGCAAGGTACCCACCAACATAATAACAGCTTTTGTTGGGAAGGGGAGAACACAATATTAAAAAAATTCATGGATTAGAAAATGGTGTATCTAAGCTTCAGAAGAAAAGTGGGAAAACATGCATCTTACAATCAAAGAAGTGGGGTATCTCCTGTTCTTGGTGATTAGACTGTTTTCTTCCTCTCCTTTCCTGTCCCTCAGTTTCATTCATGATGTCATTCAGATGACAATTTTAATTCCTTAGATCTTAGACTAACTTCTTACAAAGTATACTTTCCAAATCTTTATCAATATAGAATAATCTATACAGGCTGCCTCTACTTGCCCCCCACTCATTCACTCTTTGGCCACTTACAAAATGAATTCTAACTCCACCACTCTGCTGAAACAACTTGGTGTGATACCAGTGACCTTCTAATTACTAAAGCCTGCTTCGGCTCCTCAATCTTTAGGATCTTTCATAGCATCTGACAATACTACTCATCTTTTCTATTCTAAAACATTTTTCCTCCATGGCTTCAGTCCTTTCTCTATTTCTCCAGTCACCCGTTCTTTGATACGTCTGGCACGCCACATGCTGGGATTTCCTTTTTACTCCCATCTGCTATTCTTATGCAATCTAACTATTCTTGTAATTCAATAAAAGTGACAACGACAGTTAACATTAGCACTATGTGCCAGGTACCGGGCTAAGCACTTTGTATGGATTCCATCATTGCATCATCACAATAACTTTATGAGTTAGGAAACTTAGGTTGGGAATGGTTAAGGAACTTTCACAAGGTGCCAAATTTAGTAAGGAGCAAAGCAAGGATTGAAATTCAGGAATTGTGACTTTAGGGCCTGACATTACACTAACTCTTGAGAAATGCTTTTCTAATTAATCCATATGTTCTGCAACCAAATTTGTTTTCCTAAAGCATTTCTTTATTTTAAAAGTGGTTTTCAGACTCCAGGTCTTTGCACATTTCATTATAGTAATTGGCTTTGTCTTCTCCAGCTGTTCTTTGAAATCTGTTCAGCTCTTTTATCTTGTCATTTGTTCCATTTCCTTTAGCTACTCTCCATTCAAGGGCAAGTTTCAGAGTCTCTTCTGACAACCATTTTGGTCTTTTCTTCCTTGTCTTTTTAATGACCTCTTGCTTTCTTCATGTATGATGTTCTTGATGTCATCCTACAATTCCTCTGGTTTTTGGTTCACTGGTGTTCAATGCATCAAATATATTCTTCAGATGGTCTCTACATTCAAGAGGGATATATTTAAGGTCATATTTTGGCTCTTGTGGACTTGTTTTAATTGTCTTCAACTTCAACTTGAACTTGTGTATGAGCAATTGATGGTCTGTTCCACAATTAGCTCCTGGCATTGTTTTGGCTGAAGATATTGAGCTTCTAAATGGCTTCTTGCCACAGATGTAGTCAATCTGATTCCTGTGTACTCCATCTGGTGAAGTCCACATGTACAGCCACCCTTTGTGTTGTTGAAAAAAGGTGTTTGCGATGACTAAGTCATTGGTCTTGCAAAATTCTATCATCTATCTCCAGCGTTATTTCTATCACCAACACCATATTTTCCAACTACCAGTGGTGATTCTTTGTTTCCAACTTTTGCATTCCAATCACTAGTGATAATCAACACTTCTTGATTGCATGTTTGGTCAATTTCAGACTTTAAAAGTTGGTAAAAATCTTCAATTTCCTCATCTTTGGCTTTCGTGGTTGGTGCATAAATTTGAATAATAGTAGTATTAACTGGTATTTCTTGTAAGTGTATGGATATTATCCTATCACTGACAGTATTGTACTTCAGGACAGAGCTTGAAACATTCTTTGTGATGATAAATGCCCACCACTCCTCTTCAATTTGTCATTCCCAGCATAGTAGATCATAATGGTTGTCTGATTCAGAATGGCCAAAACCAGTCCATTTCAGCTCACTAATGCCTAGGATATCAATCTCTATGCATTCCGTTTCATTTCTGACAACTTCCAATTTTCCTAGATTCATACTTCATACATTCCATGTTCCAGTTATTAATGGATGTTTGTAGTTGTTTCTTCTCATCTTGAGTCATGTCACATCAGCAAATGGAGGTCCCAAAAGCTTTACTCCATCCATATCATTAAGGTTGGCTCTACTCTGAGTAGGCAACTCTTCCCCAGTCATATTTTGAGTGCCTTCCAACCTGAGGGGCTCATCTTCCAGTACTATATTGAGCAATGTTTTAGGGCTATTCATAAATTTTTCAGGTAATATATCAGACAGCGTTTCATTGCTATTCATAAGGTTTTCATGAGCCAATTCTTTGATAAGTGAATGGCCTCTTCCTTCTTCTGAGTCTGCCCTAGTGTGCAAGTCCCACTGAAACCTGTCCACCATGGGTAACCCTGCTGGCATCTGCATAGCCTCCAGCCTCATGGCAACACATAAGCCACCACCAGATGACAAACTGACAGACAAGTTGTCTCCCTTAGTTGTTCCAAATCGCTCTGTTCACCTTCTGGCTTCCTTTAAAGCTGTTCCAAACCCTGTGCTAGGCTCTCCTTCTGGACTGCCCTTTTAAGCCACTGCTCCAAACACCCCCGGTGCCTGGCTCCCCTTCCAGGTCTCCCTTTAAAGCTGCTGTTCCAAACACCCCCAGCACCCAGCTCCCCTTCTGGACCACCCTTTTAAGCTGCTGCTCCAAATACCCCCAAGCAAGAAGAAGCATGAGTGGTTGGAAAATAAGGTCTTGGTGATAGAAATGACACCAGAGATCACATGATAGAATTTTTCATGACCAATGATTTATTCTCACCACTCATCTGTCAGTTTGTTGTACTGTGGTGGCTAGCGTGTTGCTCTGAGGCTGGAGGCTATGCCACCAGTATTTCAAATACCAGTAGGGTCAACCATGGTGGACAGGTTTCAGTGGAGCTTCCAGACTAACACCGAATAGAAGGAAGGACCTAGCAAGCTACTTCTTAAAAAAAAAAAAAAAAAAAAATTGGCCACTGAAAACTTTATGAATAGCAGTGAAACACTGTCTGACATATTACTAGAAAATTTTATGACTACCTCTAAAACACTGTCTGATATAGTGCTAAAGATGAGCACCTCAGCTTGGAAGGCACTCAAAATTCAACTAGGGAAGAGCTACCTTCTCAAAGTAGAGTCCTCATTAATGATGTGGATGGAGTAAACCCAAGGAGGGGCTGCTATGGGTCAGATCCGACTCGACAGCAGTGAATTTTGTTATAGGCAAAATATTGAACAATGTAGGAAGCATCAAAAGATGTACCAAAAGAAATTGGTTGATGCTCAGCTATTTCAGGAGGTAGCATATGATCAAGAACCAGTGGTACTGAAAGAAGAAGTCCAAAATGCACCGAAGGAATTGGCAAAAAACAAGGCTCCAAGAATTAATGGAATACCTACTGAGATGTTTTAACAAATGGATGCAGCACTAGAGATGCTCATTTGTTTATGCCAAGAAATTTTGAAGATAGCTACCTGGCCAACTGATTGTAAGGGATCCATATTTGTGCCCAATCCAAAGAAAGATGATCCAACAGAATGCAGAGATTATCAAACAATATCATTAATATCATACACAAGTAAAATTTTGCTGAAGATACTTCAAAAATGGTTGCAGCAGTATATTGATAGGGAATTCCTGGAAATTCAAGCTGGATTCAGAAGAGGACATGAAAGAAGGGATATCATTGCTGATGTCAGATGGATCTTGGCTGAAAGCAAAGAATACCAGAAAGATGTCTACTTGTGTTTTATTGACTATGAAAAAGCATTCGACTGTGTGGATTCATAACAAATTATGGATAATATTGTGAAGAGTCAGAATTCCAGAAAACTTAGAATGTACTCATGAGGAACCTTTACATAGACCAAGAGGTAATCATTCAAACAGAACAAGGGGATACTGCAGGGTTTAAAATCAGGAAAGGTGTACATCAAGGTTGTATCCTTTCACCATACTTATCCAATCTATATGCTGAGCAAATAATCAGAGAAGCCAGATTATATGAAGAAGATCATGACATCAAGATTGGAGGAAGACTCATTAACAACCTAGAGTATGCAGATGTCACAACCTTGCTTGCTGAAAATGAAGACCTGAAGCACTTACTGATGAAGATCAAAGACTACAAACTTCAGTATGGATTACATCTCAATACAAAGAAAAAAACCCTCACAACTGGACCAATAAGCAACAACTTGATGTATAGAGAAAAGACTGAAGTGTCAAAGATTTTATTTTACTTGGATCCACAATTAACATCCACAGAAGTAGCAGTCAAGAACCAAATGACATATTGCATTGGACAAATGTGCTGCAAAGGACCTCTTTAAAGTGTTTAAGAGCAAAGATGACACTTTGAGGACTAAGGAGCATTTGACCCAACCCATGGTATTTTTAATAGCTTCATATGCATGTAAGAGCTGGACAACGAATAAGGAAGACTGCAAGAGAACTGATGCTTTTGAATTGTGTTGGTGAATGGACCATGGACTGCTGGAAGAATGAAAAAAAGTGTCTTGGAGGAAGTACAGCCAGAATGTTCTTTAGAAGTGAGATTGGCCAGATTTCGTCTCTCATACTTTGGTTGTTTTGTCAGAAGGGACAAGTCTCTGGAGAAGGATATTATGCTAGGTAAAGTGAAGTGTTAGTGAAAAAGGGGAAGACCTTGAACAAGATGGATTGACAATGGCTGGAATGATGGGCTCAAGCATAGCGATGATTATGAGGATGGCACAGGACCAGGGAGTGTTTCATTTGCTGATATTTGAAATATCAGTGGTATAGCTTCCAGTATTACAGCAACATGCAAGCCACCACAGTATGACAAATTGACAGACAGGTGGTAGACAATATTTCATAGATAATTTATATCTCATAGTAGATAAAATATCAAAAATAAAAATAAATGAATGAGTCTGACCTGAAACATGAATTGGGTCAAGGGTAAATCCTTCTTCTGATAATAATGTAGTTTCATCCATCTTTTCATATTCAGGTAGACATACACACTCTGGATCATCTAGTTTTTCTAATCAACATATAAAAAATAATTACAAAGAAAAATCAAGATTATATTGTAATACAGAGGAAAATAAGAGAATTAAAGTGAAAGATAAACTAATTTAATATATATAGATTTCTCATTAGGGTTACATCTAACTTCTGAGAATCATGTATTTAGTAGAGTTGAGGAGACTGAGAGATTATATGGTCTGAGATCTACAGTGTTCAGGTGAACATGACCCCTTCTTACATATGAGACATCTAATGCTAAGCTATAATCAGAGGAAGTGAAAATAGTGGCAGTAACTAAATCAATGACACAAATTTGACTATATGTCTGCTAAAAAAATGTATTCTGTTATATAACTTTTATTTGACTCACAAAGAACTATAAATAAATTCCTATTCCTAATTCTTTTCACATTTTCAGCTTCTACCATTGTGCTAGAAAAAAGCTGTGACATCAAAAAGAATGAAGAATTAAAATCTGGCTTTTAATTTTTAGGAAAAATCATACTAAAAGACCTCAAATCAATTGAGGCACTTTCTTATGAATTTCAAATAGGGAAAATATCCTCACATTTGTAATTTCACCTAAATTGTGCATAGATTGTCAAACCATACTATTTAATAATTTTTTACTATATAATATATACTATTCTAATGATACAGAAGCACAATATTTTGGCAGAGTATCTAAATGTGCTCTAATACAAATAAACTCAGTTCTATTTAAATATCTTTCTCAGATTCCAGCTTTCTATTGTCTACAGTCAGACTAAAGGAGTTTGAGGGATAACATTTTTTATTACCTTGGAGCTCTGGTAGTGTAGTGCCTATGGCATTTGACTGCTAACCAGAAGGCTGGAGGTTCAAACCTACCAGCCACTCCTTGGAAGGAAGGTTGGGCAATCTACTTCTGTAGTGATATCGCCTCGGAAACTCAAGGAGGGGTTGCTATGAGTCGGGTCCAACTCGATGGCACATAACAACAGCAACGACATCACTGCTTAAGCCCAGAAGCTCTGAAACTTAGTATGAGTATCCGCTCACTTTCTATACAAAGGAAAATAGCAACATACCCACTGTAGTATTGGGAGGCTCCGGAGGCAGGATAATTTCTCTGTCTAGTTGATCGTCTTCTAACAGGACATTCTGATCATCTTGCAATAAATTGTCTTGAAAAACACAGTAATTTTGTCAAGCAGAGCTGAATCTGTTATTGGTTCACTAACATTGACATTATTATGTACAAGGCATTGTGAAGGATACAAAAATGAACAACCCCTACTTGATTAAATTTGATTATGTAGACTACCACATTTCACATGGAACAACAGAATTTTGTGTATTTAATTTACTTTCCTTTATTGCAGGAGAAAGACGTGGTAATCTGCTTCTGTCAAGATAACAGCTTTGGAAATCCTATAGAGCAGTTCTACTTTGTCCTACAGGGTTGCTATGAGTTAAAATCAACTCGAGGGCAGTGGGTAGGTTTCCTTTATTAAAAATCCATTTCCAAATGTTTAATTTCAGGAAATATTTACTAAACCAATAAACAGACAGTAGCTTTATACAAACCCATATTTAGATTTCAAATCAAAAGGTAAATGTGTTCTAATAATGTTTTAGTACCTATAGTTTCAAACTCCCTTGGCAGAGAACTAAGGTACAACCACTGTTTTGTGTTTGTTCTTTAATTTTCAAATTTCAAAAAGTTTGTCATAACTAGCTTTTAATGTGAATTATAGTATTATAAAAAGATTTGATGAGAATATTCTAATATCTTTAAGATATGTGCCAGTGAATTTCCTAGTTTTTGACACCTTTATTCTATGATTATTTTAAATTATATACCAAAAGCTTGGCAGATCTTTTAGAATAGCTGTCCCACAATTTATGTTTAAGAAAAACAATGTTTTGTTTACATTTAATTTATGGTCTAGTATATTTTGTGAGGAATATACTAACTCTATTCTATCCTCTCTGAAAAATAGGAATTTGTACAAATAAATAAAAACATGCAGCATTTCATAATCTATATGAAAAATGTCCAGCCTCTGCCTATGGCAGCCGCATGGGGGTCCTTGGTTCCTACTCAGACCTCTCCTCCAGGCCATGGGCCTGACTGGAGCTCCTGCCAAACTGACTGCCATAGAATTGATTTTGACTGATAGCGACCCTTCCTTGGGTTTCTGAGGCAGTATCTCTGCAGAAGTAGATTGCCCAGTTTTCCTTCTGAAGAGTGGCTGGTAGGTTTGAACCACCAGTCTTCTGGTTAGCAGTCAAATGCCTTAGGCACTACGCCACCACCAGCCACTCCTTGAAAGGAAGATTGGGCAATCTATTTCCATAGTGATACCAGCTCAGAAACCCAAGGAGAGGTCGCTATGAGTTGGATCTGACTCCACAGCAGTGTGTTGCGTTGTGCTGCATATGGAAAATGTGTTTAAACAGATGAGGATTTACTTAGCTTAAATGTGTATTTAAACCTAAATGTTTAGATATACTATAGGCTTTGAGAACTTACATAGACATGTGTTGACCCACATGACACAGATTTGTTGTTGTTGTTGTTATGTGCCGTCGAGTCAGACCCGACTCATAGCGACCCTCCTTGGGTTTCCGAGGCAGTATCACTACGGAAGTAGATTGCCCCATCTTCCTTCCGAGGAGTGGCTGGTGGGTTTGAACCGCCAGCCTTCTGGTT